TTCTTTCTTAGCCTACATATATGTGTTCCAATTTTCTTCCGAACCAGCTGTCATATATTATTCATTCCTTAATTACTTAACAAGTAAAATTTTTGACATGTGTTCATTTTATATTTGTATGAGAGTCAGGATTTTACCACTTTTAAAAAAATAGTACTCTTTTAAACGGCTGGCTAGATTTCAATGCAGGGCAGTTTTAGTCTTACTTCCGAAAAGGACTCATGGGTGCTATTCTCTCTGACCTTTCCATGTTCTCTATAAATCTGAACAACTTCACTGGGTGCAATATTCTTGGCTTCCTCTTTTCCACACAACTTTGAAGACTCAGCTCTCTTGCCCTCTGGCACTGAGTGCCAAGAGAAAGCTTGACGCCACATTGATTTCTTCTGCTTTCTTCTGTACGGCGGTGTGAGCGTGTGCGCATGTGTGCATGCACAGCCACATGTGTGGGCGAGCATGGCGGGAGCAGGTGCACCTGTGGAGGCTGGAGCCCGACGTCTGGGGTCTTCCTTTATACACTGAGGCAGGGTCCCTCACTTGAAAGCAGAGCCTGCCCATTCTGCTAGTCTGGGTAGCCAGCCGGGCCCAGAGAGCCCCCTCCCAAGCACTGGGATTCTAGTCTCTCGCTGGTGGAGGTGCAAAGTCCAGGCCTCACGCTTGCATTGCAAACACTTTACCCACAGACTGTCTCCTTTCTTTTATTCCTTGTTTCCTACCTTCCTTCCTTTATTTCCCTCCCTCCCTCTCTCCTTTCCTTCTTTCCTAGAATCTCACATCCAGTCTCACCACAAGCTCACTAGAGCCAAGGATGACCTGAACTGCACCCTCCAGGCTCCGCGTCCCAAGGGCTGGGACTGCAGGTGTGTGTGCCACCACACTGGGTTTTATGCTGTGCTGGGGGCCGAACCTAGAATTTTGTACTGCCCGGCAAGCGTTCTACCCACTGATCTATCTCCCTTCAGCTGCTTTGTTGTAGACATCCAGGCTAGCCTTAAACTCACGGGTCACCAAGGCGGATTGTGCCGGCTGACTTTTGTCAACTCACCCGGGAAGAGGGAAGCTCACTTGAGGAATTTTCTAAATGATAGAGGCCTGTGGGCATGTCAGTGGGCCATTTTAAAAGTCACTGCTATAGGAGTGGGTGGCACATCCCTAGGCAGGTGAGTCCGAGCTGGTTGATAATACCTTAGGAGCTAGTAAGCATCTTGGTGGCGGTATCTGCCCCGGTGCCTGCCCTGATTTCCCTTGTGATGGCCTGTCACCTGAAGTGTGAGCTCAAATACACCCTTCCTCCTCCAGCTTACTTCTGGCCTTGAATTCACGCACTGGCCTCTCTCCCCACCCCCTTCTGGGGAATGTGACTGATTATTCATTTGTTGTGGGTGTACTCTTCCTTTTTTTTTTTTATGTTTTGAGATTTAGTCTCTGTATCGTATCCCTGGCTGGCCTCAAATTCAGAGATTCACTTAGCTCTGCCTCTGTTTCCCTACTAATGTGAGTAATGGTGTGTACGGCCATGCCTAGCCTTCTTTATTCTTAAAAAGTTTAGGGACCAGGAAGTTGCCTCGCGGGTGAAGTACTTGTTGCACAAGTGTGGAAAACTGGGTTCAGATTTCCCCAAACTCACATCAGTCTGAATACCGTGGGGCCTGTAATCCCCGTGTTCCTTGGCAGAGATTGGGGTTGAGGAAGGCCAACCCCCGGAGACTCTCACCAGCAAGCTTCAGGTCATCTCACAGAAGGTGGGAGGCCAGGACCAGCACATGAGCACCACGACCCATGACCCCACTCACACACGTAAACATATGCTCACAAGAAAGGTTTTAAAAAAGTCTGGTGAGCCAGGTATGGTGGCCCTTGCTTGTAACTCAACACCTGGGAAGGAAGCTGAGGGAGGGAGGCTGAGGCAGGAGAATTACCACAAATTTGAAGTCAGGCAGGACTATGTAGTGCATACCAGGCAAGCTAATCCAAGCCTGGAGCATGTCCCAGCACACATCCCGCCCAGCTTTGGGGACCAAGTGCTGGTGAGTCCTGATGGTCTTGTGACTGTTGTACTGAGGGTCTGGGCTCTGTAAGAACACGTCTTT